TAGTGGCTCCCGAATCTACACACCATGACGTGGTAGAAACAACCGCTAAAAGAGTTTCAATGACAAGTAGATGTAAATCACCTGGTTTATTATTCAGCTTGGCCAGATAGGCCGGACATTGCTTCTTATGATGCCCATGCTTCTTGCAGTGATAACACTTGCCCCTAGCCCTTTTCACACCAGCAGTTGCACCACCAACATAGGGTTTTTGAGCCTTTTTCTTCTTCTGCTCGCCTCTCGGCTTAAAAGAAGAACCTACCTCAAAATTCAATGTCACACGAGGAGCTTGTTGCTTGATAATAGTCTCTGCCGACTGCAGCTCATTCAGCAATTTCACAAGTGACAAATCTATTTTGTTCATATTATAATTCAGGCGAAACTGTTGAAAATTGTCAGGCAGTGTCTGCACGATCATTTTAACTTGCGTATCCTTATCAATATTAGCTCCAAGGACCTCCAGTTCATTCAGAAGACTCATCATCTTCAGAACACGGCCCCTAACAGATGAACCTTCAACCATTTTGGTATTCAGAAGAGCTTTCATGGCAGTCTGCTTAGCCGCACGATTCTGATCTCCAAACACCTCTTTGAGATTTTCCAGAATGTCATAAGCAGACTCCATAGACTGATGCTGATGTTGCAGAATATTCGACATAGATACCAGAATGTAACATCGCGCCATCTCATCAGTCTTAACCCATTTTTGGTAAGCTTTCTGTTCATCATCCGTAGCATCATCTCCAGGTTTTTTTGGACATACCTCATCGAGCACAAATTTGTACTCTTCAGCAATTAGGACAATATCTAAGTTTCGTTTCCAATCAACATAATTCGAACCCTCAAGTTTGTTTTGAGTAAGAATAGCAGTAAGGGGATTGAAAACAGTCATAGTTAATCTCCGAGACAATTAAATAAATAGATCAAGACCAGTCATGTATTATTGAATATTAAAATTCAAAACACACTACACACGTATAATCTATGCACCTTGAACAACAAGTTTCGATGGGAAAGAGCTATTCTTGCAATATACATATGTAATGACAGATTATTCACTTCATGAATTTAAATAGGCCATACTCAGATGGAGAGTAAACTGTTAATTTAAGTCAAGAGAATATCAACATTCAATATATTAGTCCCATTGAACCAACATGCATACTCATATGGAGAGTAAATACAAGTAATCAACAACTAGTATAACCTAGTGATTATCTATAATGAGTTTATCCGATATGAAAGAAGACCTATGTGAACGTGTAAAATCATTATATCACCAAAATTTAACTCTGGAATCCATAGGAAACGATCCCTACCACCACTAGATTAAAACAACAAAAAACAAATTCGAAAAAATTCCAGAAAATTAGAAAAATGCCCAAAACACCATTTAAACAACCCCGAAAGCCCGAAACACGGCTTAAGTCATGAGAAAAGCTGATGCGTATTGATCACTGGGCCGTTTTGCATGGACCTGTCAAATTTCCAGTCAATCGAAGTCCGTCAACATATTGACCTCTGATTTTCTGGCCAATTCGACCAAATAGTAGCTTTTGCGTTTCCCTTGGATTAACGATTTTTTTTTATTATTCTAATCAAATATCATCAACAATAAGCAGATATTACATGATTTTCAGAATAATCAAAATTCTCGGAATAGATATTTATGCTCAAAACAATACGGTTTTACAGAAAAATAATCTTTGCATGTAATTCAAAAACTTGCATATATGATGTTTCTTTTCATGTTCATCCTAATTATTTAATTAGACGTGAGTAGGCTCTGATACCGATTGATGGATTATATATCGCAGCGGAAGCAATTCAGTATCATATTCACGTGTAAATTAAAATAATTAGCACATACAAAGATTATTCGAGTTATCTCTTGAAACGTGAACAAATCAGATTAATCTCGGTCTCCAATTCAAGAGTAGCAAAACCGCGACCTCAGCAAAATATTCCACAATCTTCTACTGTGTTACCCAAATAATATCGGAAAAGAGAGAATTTCGGGTGGGCGAAATTCCAAGGAAAAACGTGCAAAATCCAGTGCAAAAACGACCAGCCCTATATGGAGTATATATAGCCACATTTGTTTTAGGTTAAAATTCTTTTCCAAAACATGTTAGGTTTTCTTCTTCCACTAAGAAAATATTTTCTTTATTTTCTATTATTTAGGCATAGTAAAGACCACAAAATTTAATTAACAAGGCTCCCTTTTATGGAATTAATTTTGATTTCGAAATTTCTACCATAATAAATTATAAATTATTCCACTAAAAATTCGTAATTGCACTCCTTAGTTCAGTTTCAAAATTCTTTCATAAAATCTTATTTAACTCCCCATATTAAGATTCAGATTCTAATCAATCAAATTAAATTACTGACAATTTAATTTATTGATTACTTCATTTAGACTTTCGCTTAACTTATTTCATGTATCAGATACAAAATCCATGGGCCGAGTTTACACATGAAAACTTATAAGCTTTCATAAAGGAGTATCATCAATCTCAAAAGCCGAGATATGAATTCTATCAACTAATTATTATTTCACCAATGTATATCATTATTGTCCAATTTACCAGGCTTATTGACCAACGAAAGAATCTCGCATTTTAATAAATCAAAACAATAAAAGACACACACAACTAGGGGTGGCAAACGGACGGTCGAGTCGGATATGGAACGGTCGAAAACGGACAATGAAAAAATGGACAAATTACCCAACCCATTTTTAATACTGATAAAAAATGGTTAACCGACGGATAATATGGGTAACCATATTATCCATGACTTCATGAATATGATCACTTTTGGGAGAATTCCTAGTCTCCCAAACTTGAGGATCCCCCAATTTGAGATTTTACAAATGTAAAAGTTAAACCTATTAGTTATCCATTGATTATCCATTTTCTAAATGGATAATATGGTTCTTATCTATATTTGACCCATTTTTAAAAAGTTCATTATTCAATCCATTTTTAGTGGATAATGTGGGTGGTTATCTGTTTTCTTTTAACCATTTTGCCACCCCTACATACAACTAATAATAACCATATCAAAATTAAGAGTATTAGTATATTAGATGGACTAGAGAAATTATTTCATTAAGTCAGTATAAAATACTTATCTCTACTTGATCTGTTCAATACATACAAAATGTACTAGCACAAGAAGTCGGAATTAAACCATTCCCATAATCAAGATAAATTATATTTAATCTTGTGCTACAACCATTCCGATGGTTTGTCCAATTCCATCATTAGATTGTGAACATAAATTTTATGACTTATAAAAACCGATGATCTAATCTTCCGTGTATAAGCTAAACTCTATACACTAAATCATCTACTATATAAGCAACGGACATATAGACAAATACATGATCTATTTAAAATAAAATTTTATTGAATTGAATAAATAAATATACAATTGTTCTATAAAGAATACTGTAACAATATGCATGGCTTATAGTATATCCTAACAGTAGCGGAAAGGATTCCGACAATTGGGGAAATCATAACTCTAGACCTCCTTAATCTTTTCTCCAACCCTTAGTATCTTTAGTTGTTAATTTACTATTTTAATTTGTTAGCTAATTAGTTAGACATAAGAATCTTAATATTTATAACTTAGAAATTGTTCGAGCTTGTATTCTTAGTGATAATAAACATTTGTAGCTAAACCTTAGTTTTCTGTGGGATTCGTCTCCGGATTCTTATTCCAAATTATATTTGCAGCGACCGCTTATCCTTTTTATAAGGCATAGTTGGGCGTGATCAATAATTATTTAATCTCTTTCCATATTATTGTTACCACAAATATCGGTATTTTTTTGTGCTACTATGAAATAGCAAAAAGAAATTGCATGTATCTGTCCTTTATACACATGATTGAAGTTGCTGCGCTTAATAGTTACAATTCCATCTTGCAAGGAACCTAATAGTTCCAATTCCATTTAACAGCACTTAACTTATATAGCCAGTGGCAGAAATTGGAATTTTAATAAAGGGGGTCAAAAAATTCGAACATACGCCTTAAAATAATTTTTGAACTATCTTTGTTACAACAATGAAAATTCCCATTATGTCAAGGGATTCAATAATTTATATACTATATACCAAAAATATATTTTGATCTATTTATGTAGTACAATTTTTCAACGGAAGGAATTCAATTGAATACTCTTTGGCGGTGGCTCCGCCAATATATATATATATATATATATATATATTGTATGTGTGCACGCGCGTTCGCGCATGTGTTCGTGCACATGTACTCACGCTCGTCTGTATATGTGTATAAAGGAAAGAAAAAAAATTACAGGCATACGCTAGAGGAAGAAAGAAAGGAGAATGAAGTAAACAGAGAGAGGAGCAAAATGAACACAGAAATAAGAGAGAACACAATGGTTGATGCCTTCTCCATCTTCTATTAATAATAACTACGTATATCTGAAATCTCTATGAAAATCATTTTGTTTTGTACATGGACTCACAACAGCAGTCCTGGAATATATATAGATGGTGCAACAACTTATCAATTGATTACACTCCATAAAAATTTCAAATCTAGAAGATATGGTAAAACAACAAATGCAATTAGTCAGATTCTCTGAAGATGGAAAAGGAAATTAATTTACATTTGCATTTATTATTAGTGCTTAACAAAGAATTTCATTTTTATTGGAGATATTAGAAACAAATGCTTACTTTTATCTCACCCTTTATTTGATGCTTGGTTGGTCTTCCTAATGTATGATATACTGGCTTGACACACTCAATAATTATTGAGAGATCAAATATAAACAACCATTTTATGGAGCCTCATGAATACAAGCGCTTCTTCACCTCATATAAAACTATTCGCTTGATGGTAATTTATGTTGCTTGAATCCTTCAAAAATATTGTTGCAATCGCGTCGGATCATCCAAATATTGTTGCAATCGAGTCGGATCATCCAAAAATTATGCAACATAGATAGTAACTAATGATTTTGAAATAATTTGCTCAAATCTAACCACTGGGTTCTATACATGTGGGGAACAATACAAGCAATGTACTTATGTGGAACATAAAGTTAGAGATATTGATGATCTCTTATATGGAATCAATATTGAAAAGTTTAACTATAATTTTTGAATGAAGAGAGGTGTATTTACAGAAACTTAACAGTTATTACTTGGTACATGTCCATCTACAGTTCACAGTTCAGAACATTTTACGACTCATTATTTATCGTTCATTACCAGTAAAACCTCAGCACCAGCAGCAATGATACCATCCAAGAACTCCCCAACTTCTTGGCTATCTTTAAAAGCATAAGGAGCAGCAAAGTCACTGTCCAGATTATACCAAACCCCCTGAATACATCTTAATGTAACCCAATGTCTGCTTCTCCAAAGGTCACCAAACTTTCTAACAGGAACATTAACAACAATTCCCATCAGTCGATCATCGAGAACAATTGAAGAAGCCCCATTTCGCCTATCGTGCCAAACAACAGTTTTGCCTTTCTGTTCCAGTGCAGCAATCAATACGTTTATATCATAGTTCCCGGTTATTGCATTATGATGAGGCTTAAATACAATTGACACAGGATTCCAGATTCCCCTGTTAGGGTCATCGATATCAAGTTTTTCAGCAATGGAATTCAATTCGGCTCTTGTAAACACATCTTTCCCCTGATTTACAATGTGAGTGCAATCAATATGTCAACATACCAACATGGGTTTTGTCCCAAAAAAAATTATTCAATTTAATAAAGGGTAATCACATGTAGGCTAATTGACCTAAATTTCTAAGCAATCAAACTAGAAAAAAGCATAAAGGGGATTATTAGTGTACCTGGAAGAGATTGTTGAGGGAATGTAAGAGGCAGAACTGTAATCTTTGCCTCTCGTGATATATATTCGTTCCTCCCTCCATATTCACTCTCTCGGAAGAGATCACTAAAAGACAAGACGAACCAACAGTTGCTTAGCGTGAAGTTGAAATCGAGTAATATTGAGGAAGTTAACAGTGACTACAGAGCTCCTCTGCTATTGGCTCTACATATGGATCAAGTTTTATTATCAATGACAAATAAAGAATTTTGTACTAAAACAGCAGCAGTTCTCTTGGTTTTACTATGAAAATGTAGCAAAAAATGGATAATAAAGAATGACATGTAGTATTACTTTACTGAGAATTCAGTCTGTCTAAGAACAGGCGCTTGGACACTACTGTATACCAGTCCAGCACACAAATCTATGCCACTCTTCACAACTAACAAGTTCAGCTCATTAAACCTTTCAATCACTGCATAAGATGCCAGAATGAGCCATTAGTTTACGACAAGTTAATACACATCGTCGCAACGTGACCTCATATACAGATGATTGATATAGAGGATTCGTAGCTAGGTATCCATCCATATATTTTAAATTGCTTGGGCAATATAGCAATGGGTCAAATTCACCATTATCCATGACAGTCTTATACCACATTTCTTTGTTAGAAATTGAGTAATTAAAAGGTAATTAATTGAAAACCAGAACCCAGCATTCAAACCAATATGAACTTCACATAGAAGGTCAAAGAAATTACCTCGAATGAGTACTCACACAGAAGAACTGATTGCTGAAATAACATTGATTTTAATCACAAAGTTTAAGCTGCAAAAACGAAAGGAAACTATATAAGGACCCATGAAATTCCAAAAGTAGAATAATAGAAAATAAAGATGACAAAAGCAAAAATGAAAAAAAGTAGACGTTGTCAAAGAGATAGCAAAAATATATCGAAGTAGGCATTTGAATTCAGGGCACACATTTTGCAACTGATAACCAACATGTTCAAGAACCGAGCATGCTTTGAGTCTCCAGTATTTATCCTTTTTTTTTAATAATCGCGGTAGCCTAAAAAGTATGTCCTAAACGTTGGCCATTCACATCATGTTCTTACAGAGTATTAGCCCCATCTCAAAATAGAGATGTCTATTTATTTGTACTATAAAATATACGCATAGTACATAAAATGCAAATAGAGAATACAAAAGGTGTTCAATTATCTCTAGTGTGGTCAAATATGAATAATCACGTGCCAAATATCATTATTTTTTCAAAAGACAAAAAGAAGGTCTAAGGAGAAAGCACTGGACTTTAGCCCCTATTCCCTTACATTAAACTCTAAACTCCAAAAGGTTAAAATAGAACTAAAGAAGGAAAAACACATACACTTGGCACAATTACTGTATATTGAAATAGAGCAAAAAAGAAAATGCATTCATCAGCTGAACAATTTTTAACTACATGCATTAAGGACTTCTCTGTATTTGTTTTTCATGCGGAACCATTTCGTGCATAACAAAAGGAGTAGCAGGGCATTACAATAACAAGTTGCATAAACAATCACCTCATGCGGAGTTTCATTAGCCTAAAACTTTTTCCACACCTTACTCCTTAAACTTAACAATCTATTAATTGTCGAACACAGTGTTATCAAAGGCGAAAAGCGCAAAAAAGCTCTAAGGTACTTCGGGGCTTTAAGCGCAAAGCACAAATACAACTTGGGCTTTAATGGGCTTTAATGAAGAAAGGCACAAATGGAGAAAATAAACAAATATGTATGTGTAGTCTAAGACTAATACTCTTAAGCATGAATAATAAGTATATGGACAAAGAAATAGAAAAAAAAAATCATAAAGTGAAGTATCAATTGTTCAGTATCACCTCTTCAGGATTACGCTCATTGGCATGGAAAAGTATGCCTTAGAGCCTTGATGGCAACACTGAAGTTTGCCTCCCTCAACATGTTTTGTGCATCGCTTAGCAGGACATATTAGCAAACAGCATAGGAGTACTAGTAGTAGTAAGTATGGTACAAATGGTATAAAATAAATCTTTGATATTTAGGAACAGAAAAAACTATTTTGACTTAACATCAGAATATCATGAAATAAACATCGTCATTGCATCGTCACACATATCTGCTCTATTATTCAAGTGTTGCACAGTGTAGCAAAAAATTAAGCATACGGCAGTAAAGTTGCTTAAAATATAGAAATATCTACACAATGACATAAATGTTATAGTTAAATGCAGTTTTTCTCGCTTTAGCTGGGTTAAAACTATCTCGGGTTTATTCTCCTTCAATTCTTGTAATCTCGCCAAAAGTAATTTGAAGGTCGTATTTTGAAAATCAAATACTAAATTCACTGAATCATGACAGTTAATATAGGAAATTTCACATTCATGCGAAGACTTGAGCCTTTGAATTCAATAACCAAAAAAAAAACTGTAATAGACGCACCTCATTCCATTTACCCCCTTGTTCAGCAGTTCCTCTGAGATGAGACGCTGCGATTCCTCAACTGCAAAAGCTAAGACAACGAATATAGAGACTGATTTCCCAAATTGAGAGATTATAGAGAAACAATTAGCAGAAGATGAATTTTGCGATTTTGATTTAAAATTAAAATTGCAACAAGTGAAAGAATGATCGAGAAGATATATAATACGATGGTTCATGCTAAATGTCTAAACTACCCTCATTCTGCATTTCTTGTCAACTATCTTTCTTTTCTTTTCTTTTCTATTTTCACAAAAACTCTGCTAGATCAACTATCTATCTTTCTTTTTATTTTTAGTAAAAAAAGAAAACCTTTCATTTAATTGTCGAATATTTGGTACAAACAGAAGAAACAGAACCAACTTTTAAACTTTATAGGTTCAATTTTAAAAAAATTTACCATTGAACCCATTATATTTTTAAAATTATGGGTTTATATCTATTATTTTTGTAATTTTAATGAATTTCTACACATAAACTTTTATTCCGCGTCAAAAGTTATGGATTCAGTTAAACCCGTAACTACTGCACTGCATCCGCTCCTGGTACAAATCGTTTGTTTTATTAATACCTAATTACTTTTATCAAATGCATACTATTACATAATTACAGTACTGTAATTTGAATCCACAACCAAGATGTGTTACTATTTATTATTCTCTCCAAAATCTAATTAAGCTTTACATTGCTAGATTACATGAAATATTGACTTGCTAGATTACATGAATTTGTTTACCTTTGACTATAACTTTTTTTATTGTTTTAAATATTTTTAACAATAAACATTATATAATTCATTAGTATTTTTTGTGTGTAATCTCTAAATAGGAAAAATTATGTCACGACCCAAAATCCCAACCTGTCGTGATGGCGCCTATCTCGATACTAGGCAAGCCGATAATCTCAATAAACCAAAACTTCTCTTTAAGGTTAAAAATATAATATTTAAATACAATACAAACGCTCCCCAAAACCTGGTGTCACTGAATACATGAGCATCTAATATGAATACAAGTCTGAAAAATATAGTCCATAATAATCTGAGACCTAATACAGTAAACAAAGAGATAGAGAAGGAGAGACAAGGTCTACGGAACACGGCAACTACTTCAAAATCTCCTAAAAATCAACCGCGCGAAAGGATCAACACATGCTATGTCCGGGAACACCTAGATCTGCACACGAAGTGCATGGTGTAGTATGAGTACAACCAACTCAGTAAGTAACAATAATAAATAAGGAACTGGAGATAGTAACGAGCTACCCAGTTATGGTTCATTTCCAGTAATTCCAGCAAAGAATAGACATGCTATCAAATCTGGCAGTTTAATATCAAATCAATTTTTATATAGTTCTTGTTCATGTAATCTGTATATCAACAATCTTTCAGAGATTTCACAACAATGACAGATAGAAACTAAGTGCAACAACAAATGAAAATCAAGTACAACCTCTTAGGACAACAATCACTCACTGGGCTCCCAGCCCTCATCAATTCCTGGGCTCCCAGCCCCCATCACCCACTCTCAATGGGTACCCGTGCTCACTGGGGTGTACAGGCTCCGGGGGGTCTCCTACAACCCAAGCGCTATAATCTGCACGGACAACTCACGTGCTGCAAGGATAACACATGTGCCATAATATAAATATCTGGATCTGCACGGCCAACTCACGTGCTATAGTATAATATAAGGATCCGCACGTCCAACTCACGTGCTATAGTATAATATAAGGATCTGCACGGCCAAATCACGTGCTATAGTATAATATAAGGATCTGCACGGCCAACTCACGTACTATAGTATAATATAAGGATCTGCACGGCCAACTCACGTACTATAGTATAATATAAGGATCTGCACGGCCAACTCACGTGCTGCACGGACAACTCACGTGCTATAGTATCAATATCTCACAATCAGGCCCTCGGCCTCACTCAGTCATAAATCTCTCCAGTCTCTCGAGCTCTCAATAATCATGAAATCAGCACAAACAATAATGATATGATGTATCGATAATAATAACAGAGACTGAGATAAAATATGCAAGTAAAAACCGAGACTAAGTACATATAAAATTTAGCAGGCAATTTAACAAGTACGCGACCTCTGTGGGTCCCAACAGTACTATCACATAGCCTAAGCATGATTTCTAACATGACTTACAGTCAAATTTTATCAACACATAGAGAGCATATAGCTAACAACAAATTATTCAACTTTACAATTTTTCGGGACAGACCAAGTCACAATCCCCTCGGTGCACACCCACACGCCCGTCACCTAGCATGTGCGTCCTCCAAAATAATCGCATGATACCAAAATCCGGGGTTTCATACTCTCAGGACCATATTTAAAACGGTTACTTACCTCAGAGCATGAAATCCTGTACTCTGCTATGTCTTTGCCTCGAAAATCGGCCTCCGAATGCCTCGAATCTAGTCACAAATAATTCATTTCACTCAATAAAATTTATTAGAATTAACTTCATAAGAAAATGCTAATTTTCCATAAAAATCCGAATTTTAGCTCAAAAATCGCACGTGGGGCCCATATCTCGGAACTCGACAAAAGTTACAAAATCCGAAAGCCCATTCAACCACGAGTCTAACCATACCAATTTTATCAAAATCCGACCCCAACCCGACCCTCAAATCTTCAATTTAAACTAAGAGGGTTTTCAAACTTTTCCAAATTAATTCGCCAATTAAATGATAAAAATAACCATGGATTCAGGTAATTTAACCAATATTGAGTTAAGAACACTTACCCCGTTGTTTTTCTTGAAAAACTCCCGAAAATCGCCTCTTCCCGAAGTCCCATTTTCAGAACTTAAACTCTCTGTCCAGACCTCTCTTCTTCGCGAACGCGAGCGACTGCCCACAAATTTAACCCTTCGCGAACGCGACCGTGGCTTCGCGAAGGCGAAGCTTTGCAAATCTTACCCTTCGCGAGCGCGACCACGGCTTCACAAACGCGAAGCTTTACCAGCTCAGACCTTCGCGAACGCGACCGCCACCTCGCGAACGTGTAGAACAAGGACCCGGGAGTCCCCAATAGCCTCACTCCTCTTCACGAACGCGACACCTCTCATGCGTTCGCGATGCACACACAGACCATACCTTCGCATTCGCGTCCTCCCCTTCGCGGACGCGAAGAAAAAAACCTCACACTCAGAAAACACTCTTCGCGAACGCGAGGGCCCACTCGCGAACGCGAAATAGAAAATCAGAAAAATGCAACAGATATCAACAATCTCACCAAGGCCAAAAATGATCCGTTAACCATCCAAAACTTACCCGAGCCCCTTAGATCCTCAACCAAATATACCAATAAGTCCTAAAACATCATACGGACTTAGTCGAACCCTCAAATAACCTCAAACAATGCTAAAACCATGAATTACACCCCAATTCAAGCCTAATGAACTTTGAAATTTTTAATTTCTACAAACGACTCCGGAACCTACCAAGTCACGTCCGATTTACCTCAAAATTTGCGCACAAGTCATAAATGACATAACGGAGGTACTCAAATTTTCAGAATCAAATTTCGACCCCGTTATCAAAAGTCAACCCCCCGGTCAAACTTTCCCAAAAATTCAACTTTCGGCATTTCAAGCCTAATTCCACTACGGACCTCCAAATAATATTTTGAACACGCTCCTAAGTCCAAAATCACCATACAGAGCTATTGGAATCATCAAAATTCAAATCCGAGGTCGTTTACACATAGGTCCATATCCGGTTCACTTTTCTAACTTAAATTTTCAATTATAAGACTAAGTGTCTCATTTCACTCCGAATTCCTTCCGGACCCGAACCCACTAACCCGATAAGTCATAAAACAACTATAAAGTATAAATTAAGCAGTAAATGGGGGAACGAGGTTATAATACTCAGAACGACCGGCCGGATCATTACATTCTCCCCCTCTTAAACAAATGTTCGTCCTCGAACGGGTTTAGAATAATACCTGGGGTCTCAAATAAGTGTGGATATTTGCTCTGCATATTCTGCTCAATCTCCCAAGTAGCTTCTCCGACTGGCTGGCCTCTCCACTGCACCTTCACTAATGCTATATTCTTTGA